TTATCTAGGAACATTAAGGTTTGAAAGACAGTAAATATAGAAAGGTAGCAGAAAAGAGAGAAAGGTCTGAGAGGAAGCACAGAGTGAAAATTTCAGTAGGGGAAGATTGTTCATCTTTGATCAAAGGATTGAACTTATTTTAATAGATCTGTAAACCATTTGGTTCCTTGAATTAAAATGCAAGAACATTTTGAAATACTTTTTCTTTTTAAAAGACAATTAACTGTGCTAAATTGCCAATTCTAGAAAGTAGCATGTTGTACGTTGTGCAAATACTGGATGCTAAAATAAGTGACTCTAACTTAATATTTGATCCTAAGAAAAGTTCTCCGGTCATATAAAAGTTCAAATAAATTACTGAGTTAAGTCTTTTGTATGCTTCTCCCTAATAAGTAAGTATGGAGTTTGCCAAACCGGCTGGAAGATTAGTTTATTTAGCAAGAATATTTAGATACTTAATGTGTGTAAGTGGTATGATATGGATATGTAGAACATTCGGGGCTTCTAAGAATATTATTAAGAATAATATTAAAAGGGGTTGGAGGGATAGGTTTAAGCCTTTGTCTTGCAAGTAGCTGGCTCTGGTTTGATCCCTGGCACCACATATGAACCCCTGAGCACCACCTGAGATAAATTCTGAACAGAGCTAGGAGCAGGCTGCTGGGGGCCCAGGCTGTGGTCTAAGCACCCCATTACCCAAGAAGAAGAATAATAAGCATATGGTCCCTGATTATTTAAAAACAATTTTTTGAGACAGTATGGCATTACTGATTGAAATTAAGGAACATTAAGAGAAATCTCTACTTTCTTTAGCATTATAGTATTATATTCACAAATTTGAAGGTTTTCACTTGTTTTTGGTTTTTGTTTATATGAAAATAACTGCCTTAAAGTCATAGCCAGTCTTCAGACTTTTGGATACTCCCACACTTACTTGTGTCCGTTGTCTCTCTCCCTTCTCTCCCTCTCTCCTTCACCCCATACTTCTTCTTATCGCAGCCCCTCCATCCCTCCCTTCGTATGCACTTACTTCCCTCCCACGTTTCGATGATTTCGTTTCTCTTGGTCCCACTACTGTGTTCTGAAGGTCACAATCTCAGCCATTTCTGGTATCTTATTGTATCATTTCAGATGTGACTTTCATTTCCCTTCTACTGCTGGGGGTGAAGTATATTGGGCTACATACAGCAGTGCTGGGGAAGTCTCCCATCACTGCTGAGGTCAGTGCTCCCTGGGATCAAAACAGGGCTGACCACATGCAACACAGACAATGCCTTACTCCCTGTGCTCTTTCCAGCCCCTCTTCCACTATTTCTTATTATTAATAACGGACTTAATCCATATGAATTTATTACGAGTACAGTAAAGTTGTGCCCTAGGATTACATTCATTAAGATTCATTTTCTCCCCTCTGTAGGGTGTTTTTGTTTTGTTTATTTTTTGACTGAATTTCTTTTGCCACATGCAGTCCTTAGGCACAACTTTAACTCTTAGAGAAATGGAATAAAATACTATGATCCCATTTTATAGAAGAGAAGACTGAGTCAGGTCACATAACTTAGCCAAGGTGTTTTCAGAAAGTAGAGTGAACCAGGATCCAAAGTTGGACAGTCTGACTCCATGACTTTTTTTTAGTACCAGTAACCTTGGCATTAATAATAGAAATAAAAACAATACTCGAATGATAAGAAAAAAAAAGACAACATTGTAATTGCTAATATTTATTGGGGATTTTTGTGTGCCAGTAACGGTAATACTAACTTTGTGAGATTTATTTAATCATTATTCCAACTTTGAGATTAATTTCATTTTACATTGAGAATTCTGAGACTTTGGGTTTAATTAACTTGCCAAAGGCTTTAGTAAGTGATGACACTGAATTTAAAACTGCTGAACCAGAGTATTGGTGGATTGTTTATTTATCTCCCTGTCTCCCTTTTAGACTGGGGATATATTAAAGAATAACCTCATTAATTTTCAAGCGGATAGCTTCTTATTAAATATTGTAGCACATAAACCTATACTTAGGATTTATCTCTCTGGCTGTGTACTCTTTGTCACTATTCTGTTTGTTTTGGGGCCACACCTGACTCAGGGATCACTCCTTGCAATGCTTAGGGGACTTGGTATGCTAAGGGTTGAACCTGTGTTTGCTACATGCATGACCTGAATGCCCTACCCTGTCCTATCTCTCCAGCCCCACTCTGTCACGTTTACAGTACCTTTTAAATTTAATTTTCCTGTACATTGTGTGCTGTGTACTAAAGGGAATTCTAGTCTTGGTTTTCTTACTTGAGAATTTTTGGTGACAATTTAAGTTATTTTTGTAGTTTTGGTAACATTTTTTGCGGTATTAACATTCATGGTTTTGATCGCGTTACCACACCTCATTACCACCAAAATGTCCATTATTCTCCACCAGTGCTTTTTATGGTACTACTGCTCCCCCTCTTCATTTTCCCTTACACCCTAACCACCTGCTTGGTAATCTCAGTTTTGTGTTCTAAGGCTGAGGTTTTGTCATCATTCAATATTTATTCCCCTTGTTTTGTCTTTCTGCATACCAACCACAGATGGGTAAGATCATTGGGTATTTGTGCTTTTCCCTCTTAGTTTGCTTAACATGATGACCTCATTTCCTCGTCCATGATGCCCTCAGTTCCTCTTCCATGTTGCAGCAGATGACAAGATTTCATCATTTCTTAACACCTAGTTTTCGCGTGCGTGCGCGCGTGTGTGTGTGTGTGTGTGTTTGTGCGTGTGCTGCAGCTTCTTTATCCATATATTTGTCATTGGATAGTATAAGGTTATTTCCATATCCTAACTATTGTGTTAAGCAGTGCAGTGATTTTGGGTGTGCATTTATCTTTTCAAAAGTTTCAAATATCTTTTAAATGTTTTCTTATTGGGGGCTGATGGAGATGTGGAATTGCTAGGTTATATGGGAGCTCTGTTCTTTTTTGAGAACTTTCCATACTGTTTTTCCAGAGGTGCTGAGCCAGACAACTTTCTCATGAACAGTGGAAGAGGGAGGATCCATGTTGTTTCTACTCTTTTTGACCTATTCATTCTCACTAGTGCAAGATCATACCTCATTGTTGTTTGATTTGTATTTCCCTGATACTAAGTGATGATTAATGCCTTTTCATATACTCACTGGCCATTTGTATATACTCTTCCAGGAAGTATCTGTACATCTCCTTTGCCCCTCCCCACCCTCCCTTTTTTAACATTTTGCTTTCTTGGTCACACGGTCACACTGGCGATGCTCAGGGGTTACTTTGACTGTGCACTCAGGAATTACTTCTGGCTGCTGTGCTCAGGGTCCATATGAGATACCAGGGATTGAACCTGGGTTGACTGTGTGCAAGGCAAATGCCCTCTCCTCTGTACTAGCACTCTGGCCCCTCCCCAGTTTTTGATGGTGTTACTGGTTTTTATTTTTTAATTTTTTGAGTACTTACTGTGTATCTTGAATATTGATTCTATATTTGATAAATGATGTGCAAATATTTTCTCCCTTTCAGTAGGGTGTTTTTTTAATGTGTTTTTTCCTTTTTTTTTTCTTTTTGGGTCACACCCAGAGATGCTCAGGGGTTACTCCTGGCTCTGCACTCAGGAATTACTCCTGGCGGTGCTCGGGAGTAATGGGATGCTGGGAATTGAACCTGGGTCAGCCGCATGCAAAACAAACGCCCTACCTGCTGTGCTATCGCTCCAGCCCCTGTGTTTATTTTTTTTGACTGTACTTCTTTTGCCATGTCAAATCCTTTTAGTTTGATACTGTCACTTATATTTTTTTGTTGTTGATTGCCATTAGAGTCAAATGATTGAAAATATTTCTGATCATATTCTAGAGAGTTTTGCATTGTTTCCCTCCTTGTAGTTTGTGGAGTCTAATCTTAAAATCCTTAATCCTCTTGAATTTAGTGTATGGTATGGTGTGAGATATGAATTCAGTTTGGATTTTTGACATGTGACTATTCAGTTTCCCCAGCACTGTCTGTTGAAAAGGCCTTCCTTGTTCTATTTTATATACCCATCTCTCTTGTCATAGATTAATTCTCCATAGATCTGAGGGTTTATCTCTGAACTCTTGGACTCTTCATTCTATACCTTTGTTCTGAGAATCTGTCTTTATTCTAGTACTGTCACTGTCACTGTCCTCCCGTTGTTCATCAATTTGCTCAAGCGGGCCTAGTAACGTACCATTTTGAGATTTGTTGTTACTGTGTTTGGCATATCGAATACGTCACGGGTAGCTTGCTGGGCCCTGCCATGCGGGCGAGATACTCTCGGTAGCTTGCCGGGCTCTTCAAGAGGGGTGGAGGAATTGAAACCGGCTCGGCCAGGCTGGTTGTGTGCAAGGCAGACGCCCTGCCGCTGTGCTCTTGCTCCAGCCCATTTAAGTACTACATGGTTTTAATTACTATAGTTTGGTAGAGTGTACTTTCAAGTCAGGAAATGATGCTTCCTATCTTCCTGTTTCTTTGGTGTTTTGAAACTTTTACATAAAAATAAACTGTGCCAAAGTTCCCAAAATGTCTTTTTGGTGAGCACCATATACCCTTACTCCTCCTGACTGTACTCAGGGATCACTCCTGGCAGTGCTTGGGAACGATACACAGTGCCAAGAGCAAAAATGTTTTTAAAAACCATTGTATGTACCATTTAACTCTTATTAAATAAAATATTTTAAGCAATTGAAAGATCAGAAAAGGGGATATTACAGAGGATATTACATATCTGAAAGAAAAGAAAAAAAAGGAAAAAAAGAAAAAAAACACATACAATAACACCCTATTGAAAGGGAGAAAGTATTTGCACATCATTTATCAAATATAGAACCAATATTCAAGATACACAGTAAGTACTCAAAAAATTGAACAATAATATTACATATCCATAATACAGAATTTGGTGTATTTGACGGTGGTTATTTCTACAGTTGTTTGATGTATTTAATGCTAATTTTTATTTTTATATTTTTTTGCTTAAAGCCATATCCAGAAGATCCAGCAGTTTATAAACCACTCTCCCAGGAAGAACTGCAAAGAATAAAGAATGAAAAAAAACAGAAACAAAATGAGAGAAAACAGAAAATATCAGAAAATCGCAAACATTTGGCTAGTGTACGTGTTGTGCAAAAAAACCTCGTCTTTGTTGTAGGTCTGTCTCAGCGCCTCGCAGACCCAGAAGTAAGACCTCTTTTGTTTTCTTTCTCAACTTTACATTTTTTCCTACTTCTTATCCTTATATGGAAATAACAGCTTTCTTTGCCCAACTGCAGGATTCCCTTGAAAATACTAAAAATTAGTGGAAAATGATAAAATAAGCTTTAAATAATTGCTAAGAAACCAGAGACCTGTTTTGATCTTAGGCAAGTGTCATAATCTTCTTTGGCCTCATTTTCTTCGGTTACAAAACTTGACAGTTGAACTAGATCTTTGTAGTCTCCTTTAGTGCTAATAAACTGAAAACTGGATAAGACTCCTATTTTGCTAATGTGAGATATGACCACTCTGGTCCTTTCCTCACCTCCCATAGCTCTATAAGGAGCTGGAATGATTTTGCAGTTACACAAATCCACTAGAAATCTTAATCTGTAGTTAAAAAAATTTTTTTCCCACATAGTAATTCTTGGTTATCTATGCACTTACAGAATTGTTGTAGTATGTCATTTTCATTCACTTTAGATCAGTTTGGGGGAACAGTTGAGAATTTAATGAAGGGAAATAATGGATCGGTTCCTTTTTCTTTATAGACAGAAGGACCTGTCTCTTTTATTTTACCTCTTTTATTACTTCTTTCTCTTGTTCAAGGACAGCCTTATTAAAGTCATTGAACTCATTGCTTTTTTAGATGCTCTTGAATGCAGAGCTGCTGACTTTTAATTTCTAATGTATCAGGATATACTGATAAAGTTTATGGGTAGGCAGAGAGAAGTTAATTTAGGTAGATAGAAACTGATTGACAGTTTTTATAGTAGTAGGAGAGAGCTGGGTTTGGGAATCTGCCTTGTATTCTTGAGAAGGTCTTAAGTGTAGTGCTTGTCATGACACAAGTCAGAGGGAAGATTGTAGTGAATCTGATTAGGGAGGTGGGACTTTTTGTAGTGAATTAAAGGCCCCACAAGGAGAAAATTAAGAAGTCTAAAAATAAATTTTGTGGAAGTTAATTGAGAGAGATTTAGAAATTTTTATTGATAAGTAGTTTTCCTCAGCTTGCCTACGAAGGACATCAGGATCAGGAGAGAAGAAAATAGGGAGAAACCAACAAGCAGCCTCTATCATAAGTAGTAAACATGGAAGCAGTTCAAGATTTAACCAAAGTATAGGTTCGAGGATGTTGGCTTTAGTGTTCTACAGGTTCTTTCCCAAATTCAATGAGGATATGAGTAAAAGTCATACAAGAAAAGAGTTCTTCAGAAAATTTCAAGGAGAGGGCCAGAGCAGTAGTACAATGGATAAGGCTTGTATGCAGCTACCCAGGTTCAGTCATCAGCACCCCATATGGTCTCCTGAGCCCCTGATTGTTAAGCCAGTAGTACATTTTGGGCCTGAGTGATAATATAGCAGATAAAGTGCCTGCCTTGCATGTGACCAATCCAAGTTTGATCCTTGGCACCCCATTTGGTCCCCTGAGCATGTCAGGAGGGATCTTCAAGCCCAGAGCCAGAAGTAAGCCCCAAGCAGTGCTGAGTGCAAAAAGCAAAAAATAAAACAAGCAAAAAGATTTTAAGGAGACCGCTCATTTTGGATTCTACTCAACCCCCATGTACTTCTTTCTTAAAAGAATCCCAGTTAACCTATGACCATTTCCTTGAATAGCTTTGCACTAACTTATCTTTCAGTTTGGCCTTTTTTTTTTTTAAACCAGAGGGCACTTTGTCTTTGGAAGATTTTTAAATAAGCTGCCTCAAATTACTTCTGCTAATCTTAATGACTGGAACCTTTTGCATTTACGAAGCTGCTTTAGGTAAATGTTTAAGCATTTTGTGATTTTGTTGCTGCTCTTTGTTTTGTTTTGAGGCCACACCCAGCAGTGCTTGGGGGCCGCTTGGCCTCTGTGCTGGGAATTGCTCCCTGTGAAACCTGGGGAATCCTGTGTCTTGGATCAGATCTGGGCCTCCTAGAGGTTGAGCTTTCTTCAGCCCCTTTGTTCTTGTATTTATCTTTGATATATAAAAGAATTTGTGTATGCCAAACCAATATATTGTCAATACTTCATTGATCAACAGGTAAAATATATTAGAAGGTAAAATTGAGGTGACGATTATAGATACTGATGATTATTTCTCAGTCCAAAGATAGTACATGTTTAGTATTCCTTCCGTAAATTTACTCTTGAACACTGACCTTAAATTAAGTGCTTTGATGTTGAAGATAGAGCAGCTACCCTTAGTAAGCTTGCAGAATAATGGGAAAGATAGAATTTAAATTTCATCTCATTGGAAATAAGAAACTGAGGCACAGAGAAATTGAGTTTCTTGCTTTTGATCATACAGCTAATTATTGCTGAGCTAGGACCAGAAGACACCGTTACTAAAGCTCCTCTTCCAGTGTATTTTGCACTAGTGATTGACCTGTTACTAATCTATGCACCCATCTATCTGCTTACCAAGTTCTTGTTTTTCTGTGGAGTGTCCATGAACACTTGACTTTGTTCTCAAAGAATATAGGAATTTTGCATATTAAACTTGCCATTGGGTATTACGGATTTTATCACATTACTTTTCTTAATATTTAAAACTGGCTCACTGAAATAAATGGCATTGAATCTATGGATAATGTCGTGATGTACAGAGTGCTCTGCCTATGCCCCATATTCTTTATTCAGTAGAGTACTATTTACTAGTTAACTCTTAAATTTAGACAGAATTTGGAATATTCAACGAAATATAGACAGTTTGACTTTTTCTTTCCTGATGGACCATTTTTTACCAATTGCAATCTATTTACCAGTACCTGGAGACCTACCATATTCAATATTCGGTCAATTTTTTATTTGATGCTAAAACACTTCAGTTTTATATTAAGCATTTATTGAATACCCACAATTTTCCAGGGACTATATAAGACACTAAACATGCAGCAGTAGACAAGAACAGTCTGCTTACATGTAAAATTAATATGCTATGAGAAGCACTGTGTGCTCTGGAGACAGATAGCACCTATCTTTGGTACAGGGGGAGTTATGAGCCCTCTCTTACCTTTGGGGTAAAGTGCTTTGGCACAGGAACTGTATATAAATGCTTCTGGATGAGAAAGAGCTCGGTCTGCAAGTGATTTGTTTTGCTGGAAGATTAGAGTGCATTGGTGAGAGATGAGGCTGATGGTGAGGTAAGTGGTCACAGGTTGGAAATGGCTAACTATACCGAGGAGGTTTGCACTCCATCTTATAGGCAGAGGAAAATTGTTCAGTGTTCTTGGGGGCGGGGGTGTGGGAGGGGCACACACTCAGTGATACTCGTACTCCTGGCTGTGCACTCAGGAATTACTCCTGGTGGTGGTTGGGGGATCCCTTAGGATGCTGGAGATAAACAGCCCAGGTCTGCCACGTGAAAGGCAAGCGCCCTGCCTTGCTGTACTCTCTCTCTGGTTCCGTTGAGTGTTATTAAAAACAGAGTAATGTGGCTAGAATTTGTGATTTGCAAATACAACTCTTGACAGAGTGCAAGTGTAATTATAGAAATCTATGTTGCTGTGTGAAAGTGGTGTACCACATAGTAGCCAGCACTGTTTCTAGAAGCCAGTGATCAGCCGTATCAAGCCAGTACCCCCTTTTCAGAAAACTGTTATTTTAGGGCTGGAGAGAGAGTACCAGGGTCAAGATGCTTATCTTGTATGCAGCTGACCCGATTTGATCCCCGGCATTACATATGGTCCCTCAGCATCATCAGGTTCGGAAAAACAACAACAAAACACAAATATTTTATAAAAACCCCTTGGCTTTCATGAAATGACTGTTGGCATATGTAATCTGAAAATAATATGTAAGAGAGGTATGCGTTTATTTCTACGTGTAAATGTTTGGTATTTCTGCTTTCAAATTTTGCTACTTAAGGTATGACTCTGGGCTGGTAGCATTATTATTACTTGAAAGCTTATTACGCAAATGCATAAGATTTATCCAACTATTGGATCAAAACTACAATTTTCAGTAGATTCTCAAATGATTTGTTTGTATATTCAAGCTTATAGAGCCATTTTCCGCTAAATGAGGTGCTTTTTATCAGTGAGAATATGACAGACTGCAAATATAGATTGTTGCAGGTGTATATATTGCCAATTAGGGTAACATGAAATGCCAGAGCTGTTATTTTTCTGAAATAACACTTAGTAGAATTCCAAACAACAGACTTGTTGACTTCCTTAATTAAATATTGTTTGCTCTTTTGGTGAATCCAGTGTACTGCAGAACTAGGGAGAAACCACCTTGTGTTTATATATAATACAGAATTTGTTTCTGGGCCCACTTTCCTAAACAGGCTTCCCAGCCACATTCATCTCTCCAAAGACCTTTGAAAGTTCTACAGGATGAGTCTGTGGTAGGCAGAACTAACCTCAGCTTTGTAAGGCATCCTCAGCCCCACCCACTGACCTCTTTAGTGTTTCCAGACAACCTTCTCCAATTAAAGTTCAAGATTTCCCCCAAGTGTTCCTTTTGGGGGGAAAGAGCCACACCCAGCTGTGCTTAGGGCTTCTGGCTCTGTTCAGGGGTCACTTGTGGCTGTGCTCGGGAGACCACGTGCGGTGCCAGGATCGGTCCTAGGTCAGCTCAGTGCTAGCACGGTGTCCTGCCCACTCCCTATACTATCGCTACAGCCCCCATTGAGCTCTTCTCTGCCTTTATCGAGAACTGTTATATTGACTCAGATGTCATTTGAGGTGCTGACATGTAATATAACCCAGTATTAGCCCAAGAAACAGATTGAAGCAGGTATTTTGGCCTTGGGGCATTTCCTGAGTTGATAAGCCTCTAACTGGGAAAAACTTTTTGGAATATTAAATGGCCAGAAAGCTTTTGAAACCGTAGTCTAAGTCCTGGCATTAAGCAACTCTGGAATTACTGTCTTCTCCACTGTTGCTGTCAAAACTCCCCTTTGGTTGGATGGAAAACCGATCAAAAACCAGTGTAAATCACTTCACCTTGTAATTCATTATAATTGCGGAGGAGCCACAATATAGGCAGGGGTGCATACCTTCTGTGCATAGGGACCCAGATCACGTTCCCAGCACCGCTTGCTTCTTGAGCACTTCTTGACGTAGACCTAGAGGCACCCAAGCACCACCTGAGTCATGCTGGATTACTTTCGGCCTGGTTGACCTCGTATTGAAAGAAGTGACCTCCAAGCCCTTTGAGCACTGCTTGGGCGATTGCCCCTTCCCCCAGAACATTTTGGAGATATGAACACCTCTGTACTTGCCAGAACCTAAATGAAAGATGGTAAGAGTAATTCATGCGAAGTTATAGACTGTTAAGAATTAGCGACCTCGAAGCTTCGATTCTGTCATGTGCAGAACATACTAGCCAGGTTACAAGTCTTTGAGAATATAATCAAATGTTTGGAGCATTTGGAAAGAAAGATTGCTCAGATTTGGAGCAGAATATTTTTATTGAGAGAGCTTGCTGTTGGGAAAGATTATAGTAGCAGTAGGTCTATATAAAATTCCAGGACAAGAACTTCATAGGGAAATTTTTGTATAGAATTAAGTATTGGTCAGATTAGTTTACGTTAACGTGAATTTTATTGTAAGAGATGCTTAAATCGATGCTCACCGAGATGACAAAATAAAGAAGCTTAACAGTGAAGGTAAATAACTACCAAGAAATAACTAGGTAATAAAGAATTGTAGATCATTTGTATCTAAAGTCTTTTGGGTTTGTTTTCCTGTTACCTCCTGTTTCTTTTTATTATAAGAAAAAGATGAGGGGGTTGAGGGAATTCCCAATAGCTGACAACTAAGAAATGATAAAAATTGACATAAGGAAACTGTGTGTTGTGTGTGTGTGTATGTGTGTGTGCGCTTGCATGCATGTGTGTCTGTGTTTATACACATTGATAATCATAAGCCAGACAATAGAGAGGCATTTTATACCACAGTTGAATTTATAACAATTTAATATATCAAGTATATATAGTAGGTCAATGAATAAAGATCATTTCTACTTAATCTATTCACCAGTTTGCATGTCTGTCTTTAATACATAATTTCATTGTTTTGGAATGATCTTCTTATACAGATTATCTATTAGGAAAGTGTGGTCAAGATCTTTGATCTATTTTGTGCTTAACAAAGTAAGGTCCCATAGATTATTGGTGCATAATAGGTAATTCTAAACTTAGTGAGTGTCCATTTCTATTCACTAGGTTAATAAACTCTTGATTTATTGTAGGTTAACCACAGAAATTGTAATTAGGAAATAGTGACATATTTTAGAAAATTTAAAAATTAGAATTATCCTTTCTTAAAAGAGGGTTGTAAATGTTCCCATTATAAAGATAAAGTTGATGAAAATGGGGACAGTTTATACCTTATTTCTTCTTCTCTTATAGGTTTTAAAACGACCAGAATATTTTGGGAAGTTTGGTAAAATACATAAAGTTGTCATCAATAATAGCACATCATATGCAGGCTCACAGGTAACTAATTATAGGGATTTTTGCCGTTCCTGTTATAGTCCGGGCTTGACCTGGGCTGTTCAGAAGGAAAATGTTCTTTGAGAGAGCATGAGGGTTAAATAATTGAGCGATGTAGTGACCCCTGTTGGTGGGATGGGGAAATTTTGGGTGCTCATTTGACCCCTCCAGTAATTAATTAGTAAATTAATACTAATAAGAGGGAAATGGTAAAAGAAGATTTAGTGATGGTTTGAATGGGAGGGGGAGTTGAGTGTATTTTCCGGCAATATAATAATTATAGATGATTTACAAGTGTTTTTAGATATTGGAAATCTAATACAGCATTTTTTGTTAGATTGATCATAGCCAGTAGAATACTTTTTGCACATTACATTTAATTTTGGTTGAGCAAAATTTGACACCACTGTGTCTTCAAACTTGTGTGTTTTTTTTATCTAAGATTTAAAGTTTGTTTCATAACCTTTGACGAGCCTGTTCAGATAATTAAAAAAAAATTAGTCTACTTAAAGTAAGATAAAATTCATTGAGCATGATTTTTCAAAAAAAAAGGAGCTGCTGTAAGATTTACTCAAGATTTTTAATTATTACAATTATATTTATAATAGTCGTAAAGACGTTTAGAATTCCAGAGGCAAATTGCGAGAGAATCTTTCAAAAATGTGTGCTTAATTTGAAACTAATGACAGTGGGTTTTCACTTTAGGGTCCAAGTGCCAGTGCTTATGTCACCTATATCCGATCAGAAGATGCTCTCAGAGCCATACAGTGTGTCAACAATGTGGTGGTAGATGGCAGAACACTTAAGGTAATATGGGCCTCTTAATTTGTTTTATTTAGGTGGAATGGATTTTATATACCTTCTTTTTTTGGGGGGGGTCAGAGGTTACTCTTGGCATGCTTGGGGGACTATATTGGATGCCAGGGATTGAACTCGGGTCAGCCATGTGCTAGGCAAACGCTCTACCTGCTGTACTATCGCTCTGACCCCTATACCTTCTATTTTGCTCTCAGGGAAGATTTTGGTGCTCCATTTCTGTAGACTGAGATGTTTACTTTTTTCAAATGAGCAAATCCTCTTGAATGAATGTTCTTAACAATAGAACAGTTTACATTGATAGAATTCACAACTGTGTTTTTGTTTTCTTGTGTCCGTGGCTCATTTTTAGGTTATTAGTAAAAACACTAAATATGGAAATTTTCATTGTTGTAACCATTCACATTTTGGTAACTTTTCCCTCTTCCCCCTCTTCTTCCTGCAGGCATCTCTAGGTACAACAAAATATTGCAGTTACTTTTTAAAGAATATGCAGTGTCCAAAACCTGACTGCATGTATCTACATGAATTGGGGGACGAGGCGGCCAGCTTCACAAAAGAGGAAATGCAGGTAGTAATGTGACTTACCACGTATGCAGAAAATGTCTAAATAATTTATCTAAATAAGTTAAAATTGCAGAAGCAAAAGCTAGGGATATTTTATAAAATTGCTATCACCAGTAGCACTTTCTGTTGTTTCATGTTAAAAACCATGTACTAAATTTGAAAATGCTAGGTTAATGAGGGTAAATAGATTTCTTTTCTACAGAACTTCTGAGATGCTTTTAATTAACCAAGGAAAGCATTTTTGGAAATGCTACTTTAAGGGGAAGCATCCGCAAAAATGAAAGCTAAGTGGGATACTATAATTATGCCTCCCCCGCCCCCCCCCCTTCTCCCTCTCTGCTCTTTACAGAGCATACTAGAAAATAGTACAGTTGTTGCCGATAAGCTAACGTGGATTTTATGAAATTTCCCCACGAGAGTGTCTGAGTCAGCATCCTGTAAAGAGTGAACTGAAAGTTTGCCCTCCTATCCTGTGTTCTTTTTTATGTTTCCTCTTCTGTCTCCTTTCAATTTGTAGTATAAACATGCTTTAACAAGTAAAAGTGTTCACCATACGGCATATTAAATGAGGATAATACCAAAGCACAGTGGTGTACTTCCCTATTGTAGATGAGGACTTCAGCTTGTTGCTGTGGACTTTGGCAGGAATACTTCTCATTAGAAGGTGGGGGGCATTGACTGCTACCTTTTGTTCTCCAGGTCACACTGGAGTCTAGTAAGGAGCTCTTTTAAGAGCAGATGGTTAAGTAAAGGGAAATATCACCTTTTTTAAAAAAAATTTTAATTACTATAGGTCAAATCCCATCATGATAATTTGTAGAAGAATTCTTTGACATTTTTATGATGTGTCAAAATTAGGTCACTTTAAGGGGATGGATGACGTATTTCTTATTTATCCCGTAAATGTTCTTGATTTTTTTAAATTAAAAATGAAAATTTTTGGATAAAATGTGAGGTTGAGCCATTTCAGACTGAATTTTAAATATTGAAGAGTGCACTTTACTCACAGATATGATTCCAATTTAAGTCCTGTCAAAGACTTTGAGTCCTAGCTCATTTCATGTTTAAGTATTTCTGAATCATCAAAGAAAATGTTCCTTGGAACTTCTTTGTAATGGAATTTACCCTGCCTCCTTAACTGCCCCTATAGACTCTATTGACTATCAGTTTTATCTTTTGGTGGCTAAGGAAAACCAATGTTCTCAATTATGGACTAAAGAAAGAATTTCAAAGTTTTTCATCTTTTAAAGATAAAATTCACACAAAATATGAAATTAATTTAAAATTTTAAATGAATAAAAATAAATCCACAGCAAGCTGTATTTTTCTCAATATATTAGTATTTCCTGTTGTCCTGAATTTCTTGCTCTTGAATAGCATGTGGATAGTATGTGAATGAGTGACCGGCTGTGCCAATAAACGTCAGTTTAAAATTACTACCCAAAGGGGTTCTTTTGTTAAATCTTCTCACTTTAGAAGGGATTGGACAAATTATGTGGAAAAACTCAGATCTTTCCTTATAACTGCATAATTCAAAATTTTGTATCTCATGAGATATTTATAGATCCTATTGAAACAGGCAAGAGCCCTCTCAGAACAGGGAATGATGCATTAGGCAGTATGTGTTACACAATAGAGATTTATTAAATAGTATGCTTGTTTTTTAAAAATTAGTTTTGTGTTGGTTTTCTTATAAGCCCAATTTAGAATATTCTTTTAAAGTAGTTAGTATCCGTGAAGGTAAGTTAAAAATGTTGTAGTCATGATATATGGGCAGATATACAAAAATGATTCAGGAGCTGAGAAGATGCTTGACGGCACTCTAACACATTAGAAGTCTCAGGTTTGCTCCATAGCACTACTTGGTCCCCCAAACATTTCTGTTTGTGCCTCCATCCCCCCACCTGTAACCCTCCACCCCCCCCCCCCCCCCCCGAGATTCAACATAATGGCAAGTTTTCATTGTGAGATTCAACATAATGGCAAGTTTTCATTGTGTGCCTAATTTCTTCCATATCATATGTGATACTGGCAGATAGCTCTCTGGCTGTAGAGTTCTACATCGAACAGGGTTTTTCTATAAATGATCAGTTAATAAATGTTTTAGGTTTTCTGGGTCATTCGGTCTCTGTATGCTATTCAAATTGCTCTTATAGCATGAAAGCAGTCTTGGGCTGCGTGTGAATGAGTTGCCTGTTCCAATAAACTTTATATACAAAAACACAGTGGCTGACTGTTAATTGCCACCCTCTGGTTTGGAATTTTTAAATATATTAATTTTATCCATAAAAAAGTAATGTGATTTTAACTTAGTCTAAGGATAATTAATGACCGTGTTTTCTTAACTGTGTCTTCCATATAGATTTACTTCTTTTGAAAAGGAAATTCACTTTCAGAAAATCAAAGAATAGCCTAGTAAACAGTTTTTCAGGGGCATAGTACAGCTGGTAGGGCATTTTGCCTTATATGTGGCTGATCAGGGTTCAATCCCTAGCACATCACCTCTTCCCCTAAATACTGTCAGGAATAATCCCCTAGTATCACTAGGTGTGGCCCCAAAAGAAAGAAAAAACAGCAGCAAGAGCAACAACAAAAAACCCCAACCAATTCTTACATCAGAGATGCAGAAGTAGGTCAGTAGGGCTCCCTCTAGTTTTTGAAATAGCAAAAAAGTTGTCTCTTAATAGTTTTCCTACACTATATAGGGGGTTATGAAATACCTCACTGGAATACGTGCAGGTAGTTTTATTGGAAGAATTTTCTTTGATAGAGATGAGACTGTGACATTATTTTCCCATGTTTCTCAGCTGCCACGAAAACCCTTGCATGTTTTATTTAGGATACCTTTAATAATTCAGAAAGTAATTCAGAATTTAATCCAGCCATTTTATGAACCTTATTGCAGTTTAATTTATTCTTCCACTAGGCGGGTAAGCACCAAGAATATGAACAGAAGCTACTTCAAGAATTATATAAATTAAATCCCAATTTTCTTCAGTTATCTACGGGTTCAGTTGATAAGAATAAGAACAAAGTGACCCCACTACAGAGGTATGATACGTAAGTACCAGTATTAGTATTATCAGACCTTACCTTCATGTCTGTCTCTCTCCTCTTTTCATTATTCATCTTTTTCAGGCGGAATCCTTCTTGACAGTGTCTATCATTTATGCAGAATTGTGCTATAAAGGAAATGTTGAGTCACAGTTTCTGGGTTTGAATTTTTGCTGCTGCTGCTCCCTGGTAAACTTCAGCTGAGACTTTTTTGGCTTCCCTTTTGCATTGATTTGCACACTACCTGAACCCCCAGAGCATCCTCATTGCTAAAAAGGAAATTAAGAGATAATGGTTATTCAGAGACTTGTCAACCTAATTGAGGTTTCCATTCCTAACATAATTAGGGGTGGGTGGGGAAATACTGTGGAAGGGAAAGTGTGTATTTTCTGAAGCGTTGTGTTGGGGACATACATATTCAAGGCTATCTGATCTCAGTACTCACAAGCCTTATGTCCTAAATAAGGAGGCTCTCCCATATTCAAAATCTTACTCATTTTAGGAGACAACTTGTTTTCAAATGGGGAACAGTGTGTGTCAGTATTTAAAGAAATTCAGTCTTCAGTGCATTTCCTACCTGATAATGGTGATCTTCATATCTTGGATAGCATTTAGATATAGCCCATAAGAAAACAACATGGTTAATAAAAAGAATCAGTTGGAGATTTTTCCCTGATTGTTTACTACATTAGGATCTTTGTTTTTTAAATTTGGTAAATTTTTATCAAATGAAATTGTTTAAACATCTGTAGTTTTCCATAGGTTGCTTTTCTTTCCTAAAAACATTTATTCCATTTGTGATATTTTAAAATGTTACATGTTGTGGACAAGTGTCTGTTTAGCACTAAAATAATTTACAGATCATTTTTCAAATATTGTTATTAATGCCTAAATAGGCTTATAAATTGCTAAGAGTCAGTTTAGTCAGTTTCTTCAAAAATGCATTTCTGTATCTTAAGATTTTCTTGGCGGGGGGAAGGTTGGGAGGCAGATATTTTGGGACCAAACCCAGGCCACCCAGGAGTAAACCCTGAGTGCATACTTAAGTGATGCACTCAGGGATCACTCCAGGTGGAACTTGGGGGACCATGTGAGGTACTAGGAAGTTAGCCTGCACAGCATGTGCCCTGCCCACTTTACTGTCTCTTCAGTCCCTGTATTAAGTTCCTGAAGTCCTTGCTAATTTATTGTTTTGAAAATAAAGATTATAAAGATTTATTTTATATTATAAATATCTCCTGTCAATAGAGGAAAACAAAATTTCTGTGATCTTTGTGAAGTATGTTACTATCAAAGCTAAAATAAAAGCTAAGCCTTAAAAAGTCTGTAGGGATTGATGAACTTCGATCTTTTTCGTAGATGTTTTTTGTACTTTTTTATCCTTGTATGTCGTGTCATTGTAGTAGAAGTTACATATGTCATTATTTACTTCATGAGTTCCCAGTTCTGTAATTATCCTTTTGTTGTCTGTTTATTTTTGTTTTGTTTTGGAGTCCTCCCCAAGGGTACTAAGAGGAACTCCTAGCAGTGTATGGAATCCGTGTGGTGCCAGGTATCAAATCCAGGGCCCCGGGCATGCCATCTAGGTACTCCAGTCCTTTGACTGGCTCAGTTTTACTTCTTCTTGTGTCTGTGTATGGTGCCGGGGATCAAACTCAGGGCCTCAGATATGCAAGGCAAGCACTCTACCTTTGAGCTTTACCCCCTTCTAGGGTTATTTTAATTAAATTTCAGTTATTGAATTGCTGCTTGGACTCAGTAGTACAGAGAGCTACTCCCTGGAAGTCCTCTGCTTGTTCTGAGGGGCATGTGGTGCCAGGGATCAAACTTGGGGCTTCGTTGAGCTGTCTCCCCAGATTCAGATTATCGTAGTAAAAATTTACTTCAGATTTTTTAAACATTTATACATGTTGTTCACATTAAAAATATTCTAATAAAGTTATATTCTTTTTGTTTGTTTTTGTTTTGGAGCTAAACCCAGCTGTGGTCAGGGCTTACTCCTGGCTCTGTGCTCAGGAATCACTCCTGGTGATGCTCAGGGATCATATGGGATTGAACCCAGGTTAGCCACATGCAAGGCAAGTGCCGTACCTGCTGTACTTTTCCAGCCCCATAATTAAACTTATATCCTGAGTGTTTAGCCACTAGAAAATGCAGAGCAGAAATGAAGACTTTAGGTGGTTGTAAGTATAAAAATTATATATTTTTATGGAAGAATTTGGAAAGATGTAAAAATACGCATAAGAAAATAAATATTACTTATGACCTCAGTTTTCAAATTTTCTTCACTGAAAATGATGTATTTTCATTGTGTGTATAAGTCTTTTTTCCTTTTGATTGTATATATACATAAAAGACTTTGGTTTATTACATTTGAAAATGTTCCTCTATTATAAACTTTTCCCAGTATCACACATAACATAGTTTTTATAGCTGCATAGTATTCCATTATGAGTATTTCAGATTTATTGACTTAGTCTCCTACTGTTACTTGTTGTTCTTTTCATTTTGATGTTATTACTTATAACACTGTGATGTACAAGTTTGTTTTGTTTTTGATCTGTTTTTTATGATCTGAAAATTGTTGAGTCAAAGATTCAAAATACATAGTTCCTTAAATTCAGCTTTCTATTATTCATTTACCAATTTGATAAACAGAAAGCTGTTCGGGTAACTGAATAACCTATTTATGCATTGTGAATTCATTGATTTTGCCATATTTGATTGGTATACCTAAGTGTTCTGTGTGCAGTTTATGGACTTAATTTTCCCCAATTAGTTGACCAATCTCCTTCAGAATTCTTGTGCTTTTAGAATCAACTTTGGAGTAATTTATCTTCTACAATGTATCACTGAGTTTTCTGAACTATTTACATGGCCTGTCTTGGGAAGGACTGTCTACCGGTCTGTCCTCAAGTGTTATTCTTGGCTCTGTGCTCAGGGATCATTCCTGGAGATTCCGGGGACCATATGGGATACCAGGTATCAAACCCCAAATAACCACATTACAAGACAAGCACCTTAACCCGTGTCCTATCTTTCGGCCCTCATTTTCCTTTTTCATGGCACTAATTCCCAATGTTACCTTTTCTTATTTGAGAATCACTAAGCTGAAAATTGAAGAACAGTGTAAGAAAGTGAAGCAAGCAGACTTTTTTTTTTCTTTTTGGGTCACCAGGCACAAGGGTTACTCCTGACTTTGCATTCAGGAATTATTCCTGGTGATGTTCGGGGGACCATATGGGATGCTGGGGATCGAACCTGTGTCAGCTACATGTAGGGCAAACGTCCTACCTGTTGTGCTATCACTCTAGCCCCAACTAGCAGACATTCTTATCCTTTACTTTTTAAGGGATTGCTCCAGTGTTTAAATTATTCACTTTTTTTTAATTCACTCTTAAAAATGGTTTTGACCTTTTATTTGAGATTAGTATTTTAGTAACAATATGAATATCTTACTATTTCTGATTGATTGCTTTTTAAATTCTTGGTGGTGTTTGGGATGAAACACAGGGTCTCACAAATATACACAGTACAAGTCTTCAAACTGATGGCACTGTATCTTTGGCCTTACTGCAGTACTTTCTTTCAAGTGGTAGCGAAAAATTAGAATTTACCAGATACCTTTTTTGGCATTTATGACAAGTATTTAACTTCCTTCCCTTTAATCTTTTTTTTTTTGGGGGGGGTCATCAGTTAAAGAATTATTAACATTCCATTAAATATGTTTTTGTGTGTGTAGTTAGAGCACATTTATAACTGTCTTGGTAGTAGTAGAGAAGTGTTTTAGGACTCCACGTGTTATAAAAAATATAAAAGAATAAAGGGAAGAAAGGGCTAAGTTTAAAACATGATATCCACTTAGTAACAGCCTAAAGTTAGTGATGCTGAACTTTAGTTGTGACCAGAACCTTACCTGATGTCATTACAAATGCTTTGCCTCGGTACATTTTCCTTGCTGTCCCCTCCACAGGGGTGGTGTTTGTTTAATGAGTACCTTTCCCCTATGTCCAGTTAAAGACTCTTGAGGACCCAGGTAACAGAGGCCTTTTTTTTTTGTGGAATAGAGGGCCAGACTTTTTTGTGACTTGCCACTTCCACCAAGATAGTGACTTTAACTGTGAGGGTTGGCATTGGTCTCCATTTCCACATTGCCACCACACAGGGTAGGATCAACATAAGGACCCATTAAGAGGTAGCATGACTCTGTAAATTAGCCACCTTTTTCCTTTCCCATAAGGAAGACTTGTCCAGTGGTATGATCAGTAATGTAATTTTCCATGGGCGTACCAAGAGATGCATTTTCTTATTCAAGATGTAGCACTGTAGCACTGTTCTCCCATTGTTCATTGATTTGCTCGAGCGGGCCCAGTAACGTGTCCATTGTGAGATTTATTGTTACTGTTTTTGGCATATCGAATACGCCTTTGGGAGCTTGCCAGGCTTTGCCGTGTAGGCAAGATACTCAGTAGCTTGTAAAGCTCTCCGAGAGGGGCGGAGGAATCGAACCCGGGTTGGCCGAGTCAGCCGCATGCAAAGCAAATGCCCTACCGCTGTGCTATTGTAATTAAGTTTTCTAGAAGAGAAAGGAGAAGTCTGGTTTTTGATTTTTTCCCCTTCTCCTTTTTTCCTGACATTTCTATATAGAGTAGTAATTTTATAGACATTGCTACTCAAATGTTAAGTTGAACATTTATAATGTTAGTTAAATAATTAAGCTCAAATAAAATAATTAAGTTCAAATGTAACCTGCCCACATGGCAGAGTCTGGCAAACTCCCCGTGGCATACCCAATATGCCAAATACCAGTAACAATGATGGGTCTCATTCTCCTAACTCTGAAAGAGCCTTGAATATGGCACTTTTTAAAAAAATCTCAGGGCTTGGACGAAGGAGACGTTACTGGGACCTGCTCCAGGCAATCGACGAATAAACAGAATAAATGACTAAGTTCAAATGTTAAGAGTCCCATTGAATCCTCGTGGCTTACTGATACATCTGTAAGT